GGTTTCACCATGTTGACCAGGATGGTCTCGATCTCTTGACCTCGTGATCCACCCGCCTCGGCCTCCCAAAGTGCTGGGATTACAGGCTTGAGCCACTGTGCCCGGCCTCTCCTGGTCAATTTTAAAAACAATTTTCTAGGAAGAGGCCCGTGAGGTTACAGGTGTGACAGATTTTTGCCCTTGATTAGACTGCTCCTCCAATTCACATTTTAAAGATTTTCAGGGGACAGGACACTGCCTGAACGCCTCTTCTACCACTCCCAGCTATAATTTCTAGGAAGTGACCACTTGTTTGTCTTCTCTGTCTAACCGTCAAACCCAATTTATGAGTGGGCTTCTTAGGGTTACGTTCCTGACCCCATTCCTTATCTTCAGGCCATGAGAATCCTATTTTCTATCCTGGCATTCCTGCCTTGCCCTCAGGGTGTCTGTGGATTCCTTCCATCCTATCCTAAACTCATCACATGGAACTGGAATTGTCTGGCTTCCTTACATATTTCTAGGCACATATCAAAATAAGATTATAGGGGCTGCGCCCACTGGCTTACACCTATAATTCCAGCACTTTGGAAGGCTGAGGCAGGAGGATTGCTTGAACCCAGGAGTCTGAGAACATAAAATTAGCTGGCTATGGGTGTCCTGGCAGAGAGCATTCGTTCGAGCCACTAGGGAGGCTAAGGTGAGAGCATCACTTGAGCCTGGGAGGTTGAGGCTGCAGTGAATTATTATCACCAACAGAGAGACTTTGTCTCAAAACAAAGAAAAAATGTATGATTGTAAACATTTCTGATATCATTACAATAAGACTATAAATATTTCTGATAGCATCATTACAATGGTTAGGTAATGGCACATCCAGAGTATCACGTAGTATCTAGATACTGTGTAATGTCTGCATGATACTTTACGTATGGATGTGCCATTCCTTAATTACTTAATAACTGTCGGCTACTGTGTTTCTTTCTTTTTTTTTGGGGGGGGGCTATCATTAATGCCTCAAAGATTAGTACAAAAATCTTGTTCACACTTCTGAGGCTATCCTTAGAATAGATTTTTGGAAGGGGATTATGGAGTCAAAAGTAGGCCTTCTTTGAGACAGGCTCTTATTCTGTTGCCGAGATGGAAGTGCAGCGGCGCGATCTTGGCTCACTGTAGTGTTCAACTCCTGTGCTCAAATGATCCTCCCACCTCAGCCTCCTAAAGTGCCTGGGATCACAGGAACGCGCCATCATGCGTAAAGATGGGGGTCTCACCACGTTCCCAGGCTGGTACGATTCTTGATTCATACTGGGGAACAACTTGTTTTGCAGTTCTATTTTGAACCTCATAAAAATGGAATCATACAGCGTCCTCCTCTTTGTGCCTGAGTTAACATTATCTGATATTCGTTCAGGCTGTTGCATTTATCCGCAAACTACTATTGCTCTGAGAAATCCACTGTATGACTGTAACACAATTTAGCCACTCAACTGCTGATGGACATTTGGTTTACCAGTTTTTTATTACTACAAATAATCGTGGTATGGACATTCTTGCGCATGCCTATGGTGGGCGTATACACTCATTCCTCTTGAAGTGAAATTTCTGGGTCACAAGGTAGGCGTACACTTAGCTATCGCAGAAAATGAAGCGGTTTTCCAAAGTGGCTGCACCGTGGGGCTGTTTTTCTATCTTGGTTGCTTGACTTTAAGCGACACGTAATCTAGAGGCACAACTGGCTCGGGTAAGGCGTGGAGCCTGACTGTGTGCCGGGCTTTGCCAGGGCGGCCAGCAGCTTGACGGGTGAACAGATTCAGCAACGTCACACGGTGGCTTCCCACACATCCACTCTCGGTGGGCTCGGTCCAGCGGCCCGCTGTCTCTGCCGCACCGGCCCCGAACAAACATACTCATTCACATTTTGGAAAACCGGGTGTTTTTCAGAGCATCCAGGTTAGGTCACACTGTAAAAAAAAAAGCAGCGCTGCGAAATGCGGTCGGTTTCTTCATCCGGGAGGCTCCGGAACAAAGGAAGCGCTGGGCAGGGTCTCAGGGCCCGGCCCCTTACCTAAGCACAGGCGCAGATCGACTCTCACCGAGGCCGGCGGCCAGGAGCGAGTGACGTAGCAGCGTCCGCCGGTGCGTGATGACTCCAGAGCGTGCGTTCGGTGGCTCCTAGGGGAAGATGGCGGCTGCTCCTTTGGAGGAGCGGGATTGAGAGGAACGAAGAGGGAAGACCAAACAGAAGAGACATTCCGGGCTCTGAAGACTAAGCTGCGCTGGCCGTTAGGAGCTCTGCTCTACGCCAGACGGTGAGTCTGGCGGCGACACGGGACTGCTCGCCGGCAGCAGGCAGTGGCACTCTCCGCCATTTTCAGGCTCGGCCGTTGCGTGCTTTGGGGGCCTGGACCGGCGCCTGGGCACAGTTTGGAGGAGCTGGGAGGATTGACCTCGGGGAGGCTCGTCGAGGCAGATTCGAGCTTTATGGGAGGGGGCTGGAGGCTTGAGGCCAACCGGGAAAGGCGGGCATGGTAGAACTAAGGCCCTAACTGGGAGCGGTGGCGACGGGAAGACGTAAGTCAGGCCACGGTTAAGACGTGAAGTTTGGAGGGAAACGCATTTTAACTGAGGTTTAGGGCGGGAGCGGAAGGAGGTGGGCCGAGTTGAAGCGGTTCGTTGAAAGGGTCACGGGAAGTTAACTTGCAACCTGCAAAACAGGTGAGGGTTAGCCTTGATGTTATTGTGGCTTGAAATCGGTGTTAAGAATAAAGGTACAGCTTGACAGGCAAAGCCCTGCTCTTTTGGAATAAATTTCTGTTTGGTTTGTGCTAGATCACTATCTCCAATTTTAAGTTGTCTTCTGGCTACTAAATAGTGAGGATCTTAGAAAGCATGCCTTTTAAAAGGAAATGACAATGAATGTTTGTACTTGGTTGTAACCCTTGTGATTAGTGGCCCCTTCCGGAGTGAAGAGGAGGAGGAGGGGGCGGCGGCTGGTCGGTAGGGAATTCCGTAATTGGATCTATTTAAATCAAATCAGAAAAATATGGGCTACTCGTAGAAAGCCTGTCAAGAATGTTTTAAAGTAGCTTCTCCACACATGACCTTAAGTTGACTGTTGAGGGACTTTGGAAGACATTAGAATATGAACAGAAAGCCTGTACTGCAAGGAACAACTCCGGGGAGCGTAGAGTTCACTTTTAAGTACACTCTGGAGATCTAAAGTGCGCAATATTTTTTTTTTCCCCTGAACGTGGTGCAGTGGTAAATCTACTTAATTCAAACAAAACTTCTAGTGACAGTTGAAACATGCTAGTTGTTCCTCTTGTGGCATTCTTCCTCACCTTAATTGCATTTGACCCATTTTTTTCTTATTACTGTAAGATAACTTTTGCACTTTTTGTCTCCTTGACCAGAAAAAGGTAAAATATTGTATGTTTTGAGTTTTTTTTCTGAGACTTGACCTTACATATGTAGCCTGTTTTCCTGAAACTTGGGGATACATTTTAACTTGTCTTTCCTGTACTCCTGGGAAGAATTTTTGTTAGAAAGTTGGCTTATGGGCTGGTCCGAGTGCAGTGGTGTTTACAACTAATTGATCACAACCAGTTACAGATTTCTTTGTCCCCTCTCCACTCCCACTGCTTCACTTGACTAGCCTTAAAAAAAAAAAAAAAAAAGAAATTTGCCTTATGGCCGGGCGCGGTGGCTCACGCCTGTAATCCCAGCACTTTGGGAGGCCAAGGTGGGCCAATCACCTGAGGTCAGGAGTTCGAGACCAGCCTGACCAACATGGCGACCTTTTGTAATTTTTGTAGAAACACAAAAATTAGCAGAGCGTGGTGGTGGGCACCTGTGATCCCAACTACTGGGGAGGCTGAGGCAGGAGACTCGCTTGAACCTGGGAGGTGGAGGTTGCAGTGAGCCAAGGTAGCGCCATTGCTCTGCAGCCTGGACAGAGCGGGACTCCGTCTCAAAAAAAAAAAAATTGGCTTGTATCACAATGCTTTAGGCAAAAATAAATCTTTATGAAGCTGATGGCCTAAGTTGCATTATTTTCTTTGGTTGGTGAAAAAATACTAAAACAATGGATTTTGCCATCACGGTTTTATATTGACGTAATATAAATTATATTTTTACTAAGCACTTAAGATATTTAATTTTATTTTTGCTAAGCACTTAAGATATTTATTCAGAGCTCTCTTTGCTAAGTAATAAGTCTATATATTTTTCCATTACTTTGCGGGGGGAATGTTATTTGATTATGGCTGAAGTTTGAACTTATTTCAGAATAGGAAAGTAAGGTTACAGTAGAGCTTTACGGTTATGATAAAGATATTAGTGAAAAAGTGTCATTTATAGATGGGTTTTCGCCGGGTGCGGTGGCTCACGCCTGTAATCCTAGCACTTTTGGGAGGCTGAGGTGGGTGGATTACCTGAGGTCAGGAGTTCGAGACCAGCCTGGCCATCATGGTGAAACCCCATCTTTAAAAAAAAAAAAAAGTGTTTTCTAGTTCTTTTGAAATTGGCAAAAAATTTAGAATTTTACAAGTGTATTTTACTACAGTATTATTTAAAGTCTGTAAATTACCAAAGTATGTTTAATTGTCATAAACTGGTAAATTGTTTAAGCATGGATTCCAGATTGTACTAGGTTTTTACAAAACATTATTCCAAGAATTTTATTTCTGTTGAAACTTGTTGGTAAGAGATGTTAACTGTTTTGTTGGGATGATGAAAGTTTCTCTGTTGCTACAATGTCTTGCAAGCTAGCTGCCTGACCCTAGGTTTTTTTGTTTGTTTTTGAGGCAGGGTCTAGTTCTGTCAACCTTGCTGGAGTGGTGTGGTGAGATCTCGGCTCACTGACATCCCGACTTCGCAGCTGGAGTTATTCTCCCGCCTCGGCCTCCCTAGCGGCTAGGCCTAGACATGGCCATCATTTCTGGCTAATACTGTATTTTTTTGTGGGGAGTGGTCCTGAGCGTGAACTCCTGGGCTCAAGTGATCTGTCTGCCTCTGCCTCCCAAAATGTTGGGACTGCAGGAGTGAGCCATCACGCCCGACCAAATGACTATAGTTTTAATACTTAAAAGTATTTTCTCTCTAGCAGTGATTTAGGTTCAAAGCTTTTCTGTGTGAAAATGATCTTTCTTTTCTTTTCTTTTCTTTTCTTTTCTTTTCTTTTCTTCTTTTCCTTTCTTTTCCTTTCTTTCTTGACTCAGTGTTGCTCTGTCACCCAGGCTAGAGTACAGTGGCGCAGTCTCGGCTCATTGCAACTGGCTTGAAGGGATTCTCCTGTTTCTGCCTCCCGAGTAGCTGGGACTACAGGCATGTGCCACCACACCTGCCTAAGTTTTGTATTTTTTAGTAGAGAAAAACTACTAAAACTTTCACCATGTTGGCCAGGCTGGTCTCAAACTCCTGACCTCAAGTGACCCACCTGCCTGGGCCCACCATAGTGTTGGGTTTAGAAGCATGAGCCACCTTGCTTGGCTGAAAATGATTTTTCTTCAGTAACATTTATCTCCCCATTTCAAACCATTTACATTAGTCCTAGAGACTGAAGCTCTTCTGTGTATTAGAAAATCTGAGCAGTACTATTCTTGTCCTGTTTGGCTCTTAAACATTTTACTAATTTTCTGGTAGTGACTTGACTTTCTAAAGTTGTGTTGCACCTTATACTCATGATTAATGTGCTTATAAATTCCCAGAGCTAGGTAGTATTGGAAAGGTCATGCATGAGTTTCAGCAGCAGATGAACCTAGGTTTGAACGCCAGGCTCAGCATTAACTACCTTTTTTATATGGGGTCAGTTAATTAAACTCTAAACTTCAGTTTCTTTATGTATAAGAATGTTAACTATAAAACCTAAAGGTAAAAGTGCCTCATATATAGTAGGTAATCCTTAAGTGTTAACATTTTTTTTTCCTTTCTGTGACTGGAATTTAAATGGTGACATCATTTTTCAGTTTTTTTGTTTTTTGCTCTTGTTGCCCAGGTTGGAGTGCAATGGCGCGATCTTGGGTCACCACAGCCGCCTCCTCAGTTCAAGTGATTCTCCTTTCTCACTGTCCTGAGTAGCTGGGATTACAGGCATGCACCGCTACGCCCTGCTAATTTTGTATTTTTAGTAGATATGGGGTTGCTCCATGTTGGTCAGTCTGGTCTTGAACTTCCGACTTCACGTGATCCACCTGCCTCGGCCTCCCATAGTGCTGGGATCAGAGGCATGAGCCACTGCGCCCAGCCCATTTTCAATTTTTAAACATTAATTCAAATATCTTCGTTGAAATTTACTGACAATCTCATTCCTCTGGTATATTAATCACTCCTTTCTCTGTTATTAAAGCATTTTGTGTATATCTTTAATTATAGTTTGACTATAACTTCTCCACTTTGTGAGCACTTTAGTTTTTAGTTTGTTTTCTGAGACAGGGTCTCATATGTCACCCAGGTAGGAATACAGTGGCATGATCACAGCTTACTGCAGCCTCTAACTCCTGGGCTCAAGTGATCCTCCCGCTTCAGCCTTCCAAAGTGTTGGGATTATACTCATGAGCCACTGTCCCCAGCTCTTTGTGAGCACTTTGAAGACACACTATAGTATTTTATATTTTTGTATTCCTAAAACCTAAGCATTATACAAATTGAAGAATGAATGAATTTTCTACGAAAATTCCCCTCATAACTCTACTGGGATCCATATTTCAATACAGACCTAGTTTATTTCTGATCTTTGATTATTGCTCATGAATTTTTTGCCTGGATTCTCTTCTTCCTTTCACACTGTTCAGATTCTGTTCATTCCTCAAAATCCAGCTAAATCTAATTAATGAGGTCTTCAGTGACTCTCATTTATTCATAACTTGTTTACCTAGTTAGTCTGGTGTCTATGTGATTGCCTTCTGCTGTTACTTCGTGTCCCATTAGTACCTGCCTCTATGCTAGGGAGGCATTTTAGCAAATCCTTGAGTGGGATGATAAATGCAGAAGTGTGCTTTAGGTTGTTTGTTGTGATGGGCACCTGCTGTCTACTCTGTTTGCTGCTCAACTTAGTAAGTTGAGGAGCAATTTTCCTGTTTTGGTATATGGAATATTCTGGTAACTTTTTTGCAACTTTATATAGGAAATTTCAAGCTGGGTGCAGTGGCTCACGCCCGTAATCCCAGCACTTTGGGAGGCTGAGGTGGGTGGATCACCTGAGGTCAGGAGTTCAAGACCAGCCTGACCAACATGGTGAAACCCCGTCTCTACTAAACACAGAAAAACTTAGCCAGGCTTGGTGGCACATGCCTGTAATCTCGGCTACTTGGGAGCTGAGGCAGGAAAATTGCTTGAACCCTGGAGCTGGAGATTGCAGTGAGCTGAGATTGCTTGTTGCACTCCAACCTGGGCAAACAAGAGTGAAACACTGTCTAAAAAGAAAAAAAAGAAATTTCAAACATGCGGAAAAGGTGAAAGAATAATATGGTGAACACCCATAATGAACCTTCTGTTTGGATTTGACGGTTAACCAACATTTAGCCATTTTGCTTTAACACTACATCCTCCCCTCCTTAAATGATTTGAAATTAAATTGCAGATATACTGCTTCTCCCCTTAATACCTCAGGATGCATCTGTTTTAAATAATGCTTTTCCTACACTTTTCTGCATTTTTATTTCAAGCCAGTCTCCAGCTAAAAACATACAAAATCGTTATCATACCTGAGACAATTTACATGAAATCTTTAGCATTATCTTTCTTTTTTCCCCAAATGAGTTGGTGTAATTCTATTTTTTTTCTTGCCCTGTCCCACAGTTGTTGAAGGAGTTGGTTTAATTCTAGTTTATATGGAGTTTAGAGTAGAACAAAGACCAAAGAGCAGTCTCTGGCCAGATTCTGGGCTGGTTTTACTTTAAATTCACAGCTAAGGTAGGAATGGCTGAGTGAATACAATTAAAGAGAGACTGGGCGCGGTGGCTCATGCCTGTATTTCCAGCACTTCGGAAGGCGGAGGCAGGC